CATTGTTTAACTTCCATAGATTGAAAGAAAAATATAACTGATTCTGCATGGAGAAATGGTAAATTCAATGCTGTGTAACTTATAAGGTGTTTTTGACATGAAGTGAAGCTACTAAACACTTTACTATTATCAAAGACCACAAAGGTAGAGAAATCTTCTTATGTTGGTACAACCATCAAGGAACTCTAAATCCTAATTAAACAAAAACAACTTCAATCATAATAGTAAAAATATAACATGGCATTAGCAGAGAGAGAACTAAGACCCATTCTCTATTATCTCTGTCCTTTTTACGACAGGAAGGTCCTTGTGGGTGTAAACAACTCCATTGTCTCCATCAACAATTTGTCCTTTTCCTCTCATTATCCTGTCATCATCACCACAATCCATTCAAATTTCACAGATTTTTTAACATGTCAATGAACAGAGGAAGGGGGGAAAAAAGCTCTGTTGTACCATCGCGTTGTCAATAATCCTTCAACTCCAACTGGACCACGGGCATGGATTCTGCTTGTGCTTATTCCCACCTATACATGAGAACAAATCTCATTAGTTTATTCATTCATTAACAGTTGCTCTATTCATTTGGTTATGTATGTGATATTATATGTCTCTCTTTTCCCTACCTCAGCACCAAGTCCGAATCGAAAACCATCAGAAAATCTCGTGCTTGCATTGTGGAAAACAGCAGCACTGTCGAGAGCACGCATACATTAAAGAATTTATTTTCCAATATATCCAACCTCAAACATTCCATGGACTGGAAATATCTCTGCGACTGTCGAGAGCACGCATACGTTAAAATGCATTAGCACATGAGCTCTTACCTGTCTACTTGGCGGAGAAATATCTCTGCGACTTCACTATCTTCTGTCACTATGCAATCAGTGTGTGCACTGCTCTCACAAGATAGACAAAAGAGTGACCACACTTACTTTTCAGCACATGCAAGGAATACAGAGCGGTAGGCCCTTTGAAAACTTTGTGATGTTATTAGTTGACATCAGCAATAAATTTACCTTCCGTGTTGGTGAATATGATCTATAGCACCATGTACGTCCTCTACAATTTCAACAGTGCATGCCTTGGAACTATATTCGTGATGAAATGAAGGCGTTTCAAGGATATTTAGTTTAGCACTTGCCCTTGGCCCACCATACAAAGTGACACCTGCAGTTTTACGCGTACACTTTAAACAAAAGCCTCATATGAAAATAGTGAACAAACTAAAATCTCATCTTAGGTTTAGTTTGAAACAATCAAGATTGAAACAAATGATTTTGATAGATCCAATAAAAAAACGCCCAGTTTATAACGTATCCCCAAACTACTATTCTTACCACTGGATTGCAGAGCATATACAAGCTCGTTGAGCACACCATTCTGCTCCAGATCCTTATGTACAAGAAGGGTTTCCTGGACAAGATAATAAGAGAAGATGAAGTGAGACAAGAAGTACTAATTGATCCAAAAATGAAATCACTCTATGTGCACAAGTGACTTTACTGAAAAAGGTAAGAGTCTCTAACCATTGCATTACAGGCTGCTGGATAGTCTAACTTTGCATCTGAGACTAAGCGCTTTGCCATGTCCAGTTTACAAGACTTGTCAACATATACATGACAGATTCCATCTGGAAGCACATAAAAATAAGCCATGGTCTCTCTAAGCCAATCTAACTTAATGGGAATTGAACTTAAAACGTACCAGCATGCCCTAGCACAGGGATTTTCGTCGAGTTTTTAATCTGAGAAACTAGACTGTTGCTGCCTCTTGGGATCACAAGATCAATCACATCATCAAGCTGTAGCATAAATGCAATTAGTGGGTTCCAGGTAAAGTAAAAATATAATCACTTCTACTGACTTTCCGTTCATATATCTAATTACCTTCAGCAAATCAGGAATCTCCTCTCTCGACGTTACAAGTCCTATGAGTTTACGTCCAACAGTCTCCGGAATTGCATCAGTGATCACCTACAAGTTTTCCATGGAATTCAAAATTAGCTCGACAGACATACTTTGAGAAGCAAGATAATGAAAAAAATTAGATCTACTCTAATCTATGAAATACGACGTTGACGTACCTTATGTAAGATAGCATTTGATCGACGAGCTTCCTTTCCACCTTTCAACAGAAGACCATTTCCACTTCGGATTGCAAGTGAAGCTATCTGTTTAATTCATTGATAGATCATGGTATTCAGCTATCAGAGTTTAAATCTAAGAGCATAAAGGGCAATGACTTGTGACATACCTGAACAAGTGCATCAGGGCGGGATTCAAAAACAATCAGAAGAACACCTAATGGAGATGAGGTCTTCTCTAAAACAAGGCCATCTGCAATCTGTTGCATAAGAAATTGTCGAGAATAATATGAATTAGAGAACTTTGCATGTTAACAGGGAGGAAGGTATACAGCATACAGTTTTGTCCTCAGATTACCTCAGTTTTCTTTGATACATGGCCGATTGGGTCGTCCATTTCAGCTAGCTGGCGAATGGAAGCTGCAAGGCTTGAGATCTATACAAAACAATGCAAAGTGAGTAATAAACGGCCATATGAAGAGAAATGAATTGGTGCAGTATATTTAATCACACTGAATAGTGTCTTACCTTCCCAGGCTTCATAACTAAGCGAGCTACCAAAGACTCTTCATATCCAGCTTCTTGTGCTGCAGCAACATCTAAATCATTCTCAGCTTTAATTGTTTTCTCATTTGCTTCAAGGGCGTTGGCTATATCAAGTAGAATTTGTTTCCTATCTTCTGAAGACAAGGCCTGTAAGCAAATTCATAAGTTGGGGACAGTTGCAAAATAAGAAACAATTCTCTGAATTTACAAGTTGAGACTTGCATTAATGGTCTAACATTACCTGAAGCTTTCTGGAACTTTCCCTTGCAGCAACTGCCATGTCACGAGAACTAGTATCCACGACCGGAGCCAACAAATGAGCATCTTTATGGAACAGAGTACCAACACGAAGTCCTCTAATGACGTTAGCTATATTCTCAGCTGCAAACCCACTTCAAAAAAAAAATAGCAAGAAAAACATCACTTTTCCATCCAACATTATATGCTAGCTTATTGATCAGTTCCTTCAAAATTCCAATATTCAGGGGAAGAAGCTGATGCTAAATGTGAGCATGTGGAGAAAAAAATTACTTTCATAAAGGAAAGAACTTCAACAGGGATGCAATTTAAACTTACAGTACCTCTTATTTTTTAAATTTCACTTATTAAAGAAAAGGCAGTTTTTTTCTATTTTTGAAAGTGGAAGACATTGTACAAGCATTGACAGTATAACTAAGAGTATGGAAGGGCCTTTTACCTGGTTATGATAACAGGAACGCCACCAATAGATGCACCAACAGCAGCTTTAACTTTTGCAGTCATACCTCCTCGTCCTAATTTGGACTTCTCGCCAAACGTAATCTCTTCCTGGTGTTTTTCTTTAATATATGTGTGGATTAACTTTGAATTAGAATCACTAGGAGGGCCAGTATAAAGACCATCCACATCGCTTAGAAGAATCAATAAATCAGCTTTCACTTGTACCGACAGTAGAGCAGCTAAGCTGTCGTTATCCCAAAATATACCAGTAGCATCCTGCATAGGTTATAATGCAGTAAAGCCGCTTAAATATTTCTCACATCTACGAAGGTAGTAGTACTTTATGTTAGAAGCAAAAATGAAAGGCAATCAACAAACCTTGTAGGGGGATTTTCGAGTGCTTATAGCATCGTTCTCATTGAAAACTGGAATAACCCTCATTTTAAGCATCGATTTGACTGTTTCACTAAGTTGCTCCCTGAAACCGTCATCTCTAAAATTGCTATCAGTCACCAGCATTTGAGCCACCGTCACATCCAACTACCCAAGAAAAAGGACAAGGAAACAACACATCAATATGTGATATGCTTGCCAATAATCACAGAACCGCAACAAAAAAAAAGGAACAGGCGCATCACCTGGTCAAACATAGTCTCGTAGTAAGCCATTAGGCTGCTCTGTCCAACACCAGCACAAGCCTTCCCATCAAGTTCCATTTGTGGCTTCTGCAGGTCTGCAAAACTGGCATCCATATAGAAGAAGTGAAGAATCAGCACAGAACAAAAAACATACATAACAGTGATTCCCATTTCCCCTGAGACACAAAATTCGAGCCTTTTGAGGAATGTTTCCATCACAAAAACCTGCTGTTGACTAATTGTCTGTATCGAAGCCTTTGGCGACCAAGACCAACCGCACCAGATGACACCAAAATGACCTCAAATCCATCCGAGTTTAATTCCGCAAGCTGACATTATGATTTTTGTAGTAATTAAAGGCACAAGTAT